ACATCCCCTGAGGGGTCCCAGATTAGAGAGGGTGCAGGCTGGACTGAGGGGACCCCCCCTCCCCATGCACGAATTTCGTGCACTGGGCCTCTAGTATCACCATAATAAGTTATTGTTATATTATTGATTGTATTCCCTATGTTGTACTTTACATCCCTGTGACTTCTTTATAAGTTTGTATCTCTTAATCCCTTTACCTTTTGCCCATACCCCCACCACCCAACCCTCAGGCAACTATCAGGTTATTTGTATCTATGAATCTGTTTTGTTTGTTGTTTAGTTTAGATTCCACACAAAGGTGAAATGATATAGTATTTGTTTTTCTCTGACTTATTTCACTTAGCATAATATCCTCTAGGTCTATCCATGTTGTCACAAGTGGCAAGATTTCATTCCTTTTCATGACTGAGTAAATATTCCAGTGTGTCTGAGTTGGATGTTTGTGTGTATACACATATATATTAACTTGTTTATCCATTCATCTGCTGATGAACACCTAGGTTTCTTCCATATCTTGGCTATTGGAAATAATCTTTATCTTTTCTAGTGATATTTTTTTTCTTTCATTCATTTCCTTACTAGAGGCTTGGTGCACGAGAAATGTGCACTGGGGGCAGCCCCTCAGCCTGGTCTGTGCCCTCTCGCAGTCTGGGACCGTTTGGGGGATGTCTGCCTGCAGCAGCGGAGGCAGGAGAGGCTCCCGCCACCACCGCTGTGCTCGCCAGCCGTGAGCCCGGCTTCTGGCTGAGTGGTGCTCCCCCTGTGGGAGTGCACTGACCACCAGGGGGCAGCTCCTGCATTGAGCGTCTGCCCCCTGGTGGTCAGTGTGCGTCATAGTGACCAGTTGTTCCGTCGTTCGGTCGATTTGCATATTACACTTTTATTATATAGAATTTCTAGTTTGGCTTTCTTTTCCACTTAAAGAATTCCCGCTAACATTTCCTGTAATACCTGTTTAGTGGTGATGAACTCCTTTAGCTTTTGCTTGTTTGGGAAATTTTTCATCTTTCCTTCAATTGTGAATTACCTTGCTGGGTAGAATATTCTTGGTTGTAGGTTTTGTCCTTTCATCATGTTGAATACATTGTGCCACTCCCTTCTGGCCTGCAAACTTTCTGTTGAAAGTCAGCTGATAGTCTTATGAGCATTCCTTTGAAAGTAACTTGTTATTTTTCTCTTGCTGCTTTTAAAATTCTCTCTTTAACGTTTAACAATCTATACTAATAAAAGGGTAATATGCTAATTAGGATGGACGTCTTCTCGTCCTTCTGCTGGATGTCCTTCCAGACAAATCCACAGCAGCTGCAAGGACTGAGGGCCGGCAGCCGCGGCAGCTGTGAGCGCCGAGAGCTGGTCCAGTGCCACGGTTCCTTTTGCAGAGGCCGCGGAAGAAGGCAGAAGGGAGAAGGCCAGTGCCACGCACAAGAAGGGAGAAGGGAGAAGGCTGGTGACACAGGAGAAGGCAGAAGGGAGAAGGCCAGCACCGTGGAAGAAGGGAGAAGAGAGAAGGTGGCAGTTAGGCAGTTAGGGGGATCAGGCCAGGAGGGGAGAGCAGTTAGGGGAATCAGGCCAGCAGGGGAGAGCAGTTAGGGAGTTCAGGCCAGCAGGGGAAAGCAGTTAGGCAGTTAGGTGGATCAGGCCAGGAAGGGAGAGAAATCAGGCAGTTGGGGGTGGGGGGTCAGGCCAGGAGGGGAGAGCAGTTAGGCAGTTAGGGGGATCAGGCCAGCAGGGGAGAGCAGTTAGAGATGATTGGGTCTGCAGGGGAGCAGTTGAGGGCATCAGGCGCTAACATTTCCTGTAATACCTGTTTAGTGGTGATGAACTCCTTTAGCTTTTGCTTGTTTGGGAAATTTTTCATCTTTCCTTCAATTGTGAATTACCTTGCTGGGTAGAATATTCTTGGTTGTAGGTTTTGTCCTTTCATCATGTTGAATACATTGTGCCACTCCCTTCTGGCCTGCAAACTTTCTGTTGAAAGTCAGCTGATAGTCTTATGAGCATTCCTTTGAAAGTAACTTGTTATTTTTCTCTTGCTGCTTTTAAAATTCTCTCTTTAACGTTTAACAATCTATACTAATAAAAGGGTAATATGCTAATTAGGATGGACGTCTTCTGGACGTCCTTCTGGATGTCCTTCCAGACAAATCCACAGCAGCTGCAAGGACTGAGGGCCGGCAGCCGCGGCAGCTGTGAGCGCCGAGAGCTGGTCCAGTGCCACGGTTCCTTTTGCAGAGGCCGCGGAAGAAGGCAGAAGGGAGAAGGCCAGTGCCACGCACAAGAAGGGAGAAGGGAGAAGGCTGGTGACACAGGAGAAGGCAGAAGGGAGAAGGCCAGCACCGTGGAAGAAGGGAGAAGAGAGAAGGTGGCAGTTAGGCAGTTAGGGGGATCAGGCCAGGAGGGGAGAGCAGTTAGGGGGATCAGGCCAGCAGGGGAGAGCAGTTAGAGATGATTGGGTCTGCAGGGGAGCAGTTGAGGGCATCAGGCAGGCAGGCAGAAGTAGTTAGGGGCAATCAGGCAGGCAGGCAGGCAGGTGAGCGGTTAGGAGCCAGTGGTTCTGGATTGCTAGAGGGATCCCGATTGGCGAGGGAGCAGGCCAGGCTGAGGGAGCCCCCCCCCCATGCACGAATTTCATGCACCAGGCCTCTAGTGTAATTATAATGTGTCTTGGTGTGGGTCTCCTTGGGTTCATCTTGTTTGGGACTTTCCAAGCTTCCTGGACTTGTAATTCTATTTCTTTCACTAGGTAGGGGAAGTGTTCTGTCATTATATCTTCAAATATATTTTCAATATCTTGCTTGCTTTCTCTTCTCCTTCTGGCACCCTCATGATACAAATGTTGATATGCTTAAAGTTGTCTCAGAGGCTCCTTACACTAGCTTCATATTTTTTTAGTCTTTTTTTCTTTTTGTTCATCTAATTGTGTGTGTGTGTGTGTGTGTGTGTGTGTGTGTGTTTTGCTTCCTCATATTCAAGTTGCTGATTTTATTCTCTGCGTCCTCTACTGTTGATTCCCTATAAATTATTTTTTTATTTCAGTTAGTGTATCCTTCATTTCTGATTCTTTTTCATGTCTTTGAAATTCTCACTAAGTCCCTTGAAGCTCTCATTAAGTTCTTGAGCATCCTTGTAACCATTGTTTTTGAACTCTGTATCTAGTAGTTTGCTTGCTTTCATTTCATTAAATTCTTTTTTTAGAAATTTCTTCTCTTCTTTCATTTGTGACATGTTTCTTTGTCTCTGCATTTTGGCTGCTTCCCTGTGTTTGTTTCTATGTATTAGTTAGAGTTTCTATGTCTCCTGGAATTGGTAGAGTGGCCTTGTGTAATAGTTGTCCTGTAGGGCCCAGTGGCTCAGCCTTCCCAGTCACCTGAGATGAGCCCTCTAGGTATGCCCTTGTGTGGGCTGTGTGCACTGTCTTGTTATAGTTGAGCCTTGATTGCTGTTGGCATCAATGGAAGGGATTTACGTCCAGGCCAATTGGCAGTGAGGACCAGCTGTGACTACAGAAAAAGAGCTGCTGTGCAGGAAATACCCCTATGGAGCAGGACTTGCTTCAGTGGGGCTTTGGTGCTCACTAAGTCTGCCCCTTGAGTGTGTCGCTTGTGGATGTGTAGAGTTGTAATCTGGCATGATCTGAAGCTGTCCACCAGGTGCACTGGCTCTGGGGCTTCCTAGAGGTTCAAAGTCAGCCACTGCCTGTGCCCTGCACAAGCCACAGAGTGATCTGCATTTGGTTGCTACCTCTGTTGGGTTTGGAGGTGGCCAGGAGAGGCAAAACTGTGAAACAAGGCAGGCTTCTGCTAGTGCCGGGCCTGGGACTGCTTATCAAGTGATATTGGGCATGCTGAGTCCAGCTGCTACTTGTTTGAGAGAATTTAGGAAAGTCTGAAACCTGAACCAGGACTGTCCATTCATATGGAAAAGCCACTGCAAACAGCTTGGATAGGGAAGCAAATTGGGTGAGGCAGGGTCTCAGGGAATCACCAGGGCAGGACAAACAGTGTGAGGCAGATGATGGAGACTCAGATATGGTGTTTGCCACTCAGCTCTGTGGTGGAGAAAGTTTCAGCATGCAAACAATGACCTCTGAAAGAACTTTTGTCTGGGAGAAAGCTGCCCCTGAGTTCTTGCCCTGATGGCAGACAATTTAGTTCCTCCCCATATGTCCCTAGAATCTAGGGCCTAGATCCTTTCAAGCTGCTGCCCAAGCACTGGAGCTCCAAAGGAGTGAGTCCAAGTGCTGGCCCTTTAAGAGGAACTGTCTGGGTCTCCAGCAACTTCTGTGTCACTCAGCCACAATCCCTGCTGGTTTTTATAGCCTGAAGTTACAGGGACTTCTCTTTCCAGCACTATAACCCTGGGCTGAGGGTCTTGTGTGTGGCTGGGATATC